AAAAAAAAAAAAAAAAAAAAAGGGGCTTTTCGCGGTGTTCTGCCTCATTTCTGCTTCCTCTCTCCCCGCTGGTTTTCAGGGAAGCCCCGCGGCGAGCCCCGCACCTCCCGTGTCGCGGAACCGGGACCCCGCGCGGGCGCCTCCCGCGCGCCGACCCCTCCGCACCCCTCGTGCCTCGCCCCCCTCGAAACAAAACGCGCAGAAACTGATTTCCGAAGCCGAAGCGCGGGGTCCTGGAGGTGTTTTACTACAGACCTCTGCGTCTGGCGCTGCCCGGAGCCCAAACGGCTTCGGAAAGGAGCGGGGCGCGCACAACCCGCCCCTTGGTTGTGGTGCTTAATTTCGGCTATTTATTCATTTAATCCCTCTGTTTTTTTTTTTTCTGGGAGTAGTCGGTGTTGGAGGGAAAGGGAAGGGGGGTCGGGATCGTAACCCGACCGTTATTTCTTTTCCCGTGTGAGGAAGTTGTGGAAAAGGAAGAGAAGGAGCCGGGAGCGACGCGGGCGGCCCCGGCCGCGCGCCCTGCCCGGCGAGGCAGGAGGCTTCGCCTGCCCAATTCGGTACAAATTAGGTCACAAATATTGTGTACAGTTTGTAGTAAAACACCTCAGACATTTAAAAACGCTATATAAGTCTTTAAAAATGCAAAACTAGTCTATTGTAAAACAGATTCACCTGAAATACAGCTGATATAACCAAGGCGCTGGAAGGTTATTCATAGGCACACATCTGTCTCTCCTTTTTTTTTTGTTGTTGGTTTTTTTTTCCCCGTGGGTTTCCTTTTTTTTTTTTCCTTTTTTTTCTTTTTTTTTTTTTCTTTTTCTTTCCTTCTTCCTAAGCGGAGCCCGAAAACAAACCTCGTCTGCCAGTAAACGACACGTACCGATCAGCGAAAAGGTTTGAGAGAGAAAAAAAAGAAAAAAAGAAAAAAAACAACAATTAAAATATTGCCCAGACGGTGAGCGGGGAGGAAGGCGGCCCCCCCCGGGCTCCGAGTCTCCCGCTCGGCTTCGCGTCCCCCTCCGTGAGCATAAGTTAAAAGGCCGGCCGCAAATCCGCGCGGCCGCAGTCCGGCCCGCCGGTCAGAGGTCGTGGCAGCCCGTGTCCGTTTTGACGCCGTGCGCGTACACGTCGTGCGGCTGCTGCTCGCCCGGCGGCGTCATCCTCTTCTCCTTTTGCCTCCTGTTGCAAAACCAGACCCGCACGACCTCCTTCTCGAGCTGCAGGCTGTCTGCCAGCGAGGAGATCTCCTGCGCGGCCGGCTTGGGGCACTTGAGGAAGTGAGTCTCCAGCACGCCCTTGACGCTCACCTCGATGGACGTCCTCTTCTTCCTCTTCCTGCCCTGCGCCGCGATCTTGTCGATGCTCGTGGGGCTGCCCGTGGAGGAGTCGGCCTCCTCCAGCCACTTGTTCAGCAGCGGCTTCAGCTTGCACATGTTCTTGAAGCTGAGCTGCAGGGCCTCGAAGCGGCAGATGGTGGTCTGCGAGAAGACGTTGCCGTAGAGCGTGCCCAGCGCCAGGCCCACGTCGGCCTGCGTGAAGCCCAGCTTGATGCGCCGCTGCTTGAACTGCTTGGCGAACTGCTCCAGCTCGTCCGAGGTGGGCGTCTCCTCGTCCGAGTGGTCCTGGCAGTGGTGGGCGCCCAGCTCGCCGTGCTCGGCGCCGTCGCGCAGCCCCGGGTGCATGGCGGCGGCGGCGGCGGCGGCGGGCGGCGGCGTGAGGCCGCCGTGCTCCAGCATGCCGCCCACGGCGAAGCCGGCCTGCGAGTAGACGTTGAGGGGCTGCGAGGCGCCGTGCGCCGGGCTGGCGCCCCAGGCGCCCGCGTGGTTGCCGTGGGGCGAGTGGTGCGAGACGTGGGGCGAGCGGTGGTGGATGATGGCGCCCAGCTGCAGGTCCTCGCGGCCCGGCTTCACGTCGGGCTGCTCGAGCGGCGCCGAGGCGAGCGGCGAGGGCCACGCGCCGCCCTCGCTCAGGCTCGTCACCCAGTGGTGGCCCAGCGGGTGCCCATTGCCCGGCACGCCCTGCAGGTAGTCGCCCTGCAGCAGCTTCTGGGGGTTGCGGAAGGGGCTGCCCTGCTGCATGCCCGCCGCCTCGGCATGCACGAGCGAGCTGGGCGCCAGGATGCTGTAGGGGTTGGAGGCGGCTGTGGCCATGGCCGCCCCTACGAGTTATAGTGCGGCGGCGGCGCCGCTCCAGCCTTTGAC